AGTTTTGAATTAATCTGAATGACCCCAGCTTTATTGCATTTGAGTTTCTAGGAATGATAAAATGCCAAGTCGTTGGAAATAAACTGATATAACCTAAACAATCTGACATGAGTAATGTTAGTTTTTCTGACTTGTTCCATATTCTGTGGACTTTACAACCAGCTTCAATATTTTATTAAGAAATGCTCATCTTAATGAATCTGAGTGCCTTACTGCTTGCTAAAAATATGTCTATCTTGAAAAGTGCTATGTATATCTGTGTTTTATGTCAGCTGCGACCTAAGCTCACAAAAGAAATAAATTGGGAAGCACTGTTTCAGTCATGTTAGCTATAAATGTTTCTTTGGGACATGGCATGTGGGCATTGCAGAATGAAACTTTGTTGGACAGTATAAGTCACTCAACCCTAAAGGAAGTCTCTGAGTCTTATTAGCCTGTAATGGGATTTGTGAATATACCTTATGCTTACTACTTTGAACATTCCTCTTTAATCTGTCACTGAAGTATTTCAAAGAAACTGCTAGAGTTAGTCTGACTTGACATTTCTTTGTGTTGGCCTTATAAATTGTTCTTTAAGTACAAATGCTCTCAGCTTGTCACCTTGAAAGGAGAGAAATCAGTGGAAAAAGTATATAAGCAACCTTTTTAGGCTAAAACTAATGGTGTAAATGACCAACCCAGATTACTTATTTTATGAAATGTGGGATTTCTATTGTTTTCTTTTTTATCTTAGTCTTCTAAACTTAAGAAAATAACTGTTAGCTAAACTGTTAGCTAAAACATTTATTAAGCACTTATTATATGTGGAGCACAATGCTAATTACTGAGGGTATACAAAGTCAACCTTTCTAAGCTTATTGAACATTAATCCCCTTCACACTCTATCTTCCAGCTAAATTATCCAACTCCCCACCTCCTCCCCCCAATCCCAGTCTCCTGCCTCTTTACCTTTGTATAAGTGACAAATGCGCCATAGCTAAAATGCATTCCCTCTTCAGCTTAGAATATCTAGCTTCCTCAAATGTTTATCTCCAAGCCATCTTAAATAAGAAGTCTTCTGATTCCAAAGTGGCCAAAGCCCTCTTTCTTGGTCATCATTACTGTTCCTCCACCCCCCCACCCCATCTCTGTGTTTTCCTCTATTAGAGTATAAACTCCAACGGCATGCATTTGGTATCTTTTGTAGTTGTAATCTCATTATTTAATAAGATGTCTAGTATGCTGTAGGTGCTTAATAAATACTCCTACATTATTCATTCATTTCCTTAGTTGTTAGACTCTCTACTTCCTCGGCTCAATTATTTGGTGAATACTTATCTGTTTACACATTGTACCTCTCCTCACTACTTTTCCTTGAGGGAAGGTGTTAGGTTTCCCCTTTCCCCCTTTTGTCTTTGCATCCCCAATGCCTAGTGCAATGCATGTAGCAAATGCTTGTTGGATTGGAATGGAGTGATCTTTATCTTTAAAATTTTTATATTTGTAGCAGAATAAACTAGTGGGCCCCACATATGTAGTAAGACTCCATATGTAGTGTGGATTCTTTCTCCGCATAGCTTAAAAGAAGGCAGAATAAACATGGATCAGTAGCTCCCCCTCCCCCCCCACTCTTCTGCAAAGGAGACTTTTATTCCTGACAGGAGGGGAAGTAGAAAGGTGGGGCCCTAGGCTGCTCAGCTCTTCTCAGAGAGAGAGGGTACCCAGCTGTAAGTGTATATTCCTACTCCCTTAAGTATTATTAGTCTGGGGGAAATGATCATGTTCCACCTAACTTCTGATTGCTTTGTCATTTTGGGGGAGAAGGGGAACTCAAGCTCTATATCCAAGGTTTAATCATTTTTCCACTAAATACCAATTCCAAAATGAACACATATAGTGAATAGTAAAGAAGCCTATTTACCCAAGTCATAGCAAAACACAACTCAGAGAAGTCATGCATAGGAGAATATATACCAGATAATACAGAGAGAAGAAGCTTTCCTATTAGAGGAGAGAGATAACTCAGCTAGACCAAGGGCATGTCTATGATCTCACCCAAGGGGAATTGCCCCCAAATCTCTAGTGTAGCAAACTGAGAATATGAACATGAGGGAAGCTGCCTGCTCCTCTCATGTCTTTCCAGAGGCTTTTCCTGCAGCAGCCTGAAGTGGGTTCTTTCATCTTCCATCTCAAAGCTGGAATCCAAGAGCACCCAAAGAATTTGGCTGCTTAAAGAAGTCACCCAAAAGAGACTGGCTTTGAAGAGTCCCTCAGGGAGACTCAAAGGAGACTGGCAAAAGTTTGAGCTCTCTCTCCTCTCACCAATTTCTCTGGATTTTCATCTCTACCAATAAGGAGAAAGTCCCAAACTAACTTTGCTTTGGGCAAAGAAGTTACATATTCTATTGCACTGCATAAGACACCAACATAGGTGTAATATAGCATAGGACATAAAAACTGATGAAGACAGAAACCCCACAAAAACAGTTTTCCTAGTGATGACCTCTTGTATCTTCCAAGAGCTAGTACTGAAGCTATTTCCAGGTTCAGAAATGATATTTCAAAGGTTCAATTTGAAAGAGAAAAGTTGAATGAATAGTGATATACTATATAATTCCTTGGAGATGTTGGTGGGGAGTAGATGGTAGTAACACAAAATGTTGGTTTTCATATCAATGAAGTGCATCCTGGACTTAAATGTTGTTGCGCCACATCTCTGGACCTATTTCAGGTGCCTCTTCAACTTTTCAGAAATCTAGTCCAGTCCCAGGTTGAACCAGATATCCTGGAAGACCCTTAGAATAATAAATTGTTAGACCTAACCTAAATTCCAAAGAGTGTGGTTTGGTTTGGTGTTGGTAAGGGAGGAATGGAAGAGATAGTGGGGAAAGCATCTGAAGGAGTTGAGATGAGCTCTCAACAAACAACCTAATTTTTTTTTAAGCTTTTTGGTGAAGCAGTCTGGGTTAAGTGACTTGCCCAGGGTCACACAGCTAGTAAGTGTCAAGTGCCTGAGGCCAGATTTGAACTCAGATCCTCCTGACTCCAAGGCCAGAGCTCTATCCACTGCACCACCTAGCTGTCCCCCCCCCCACCAATTTTTTAAAAGTGAAATATGAAGCAAAGTTCTTAACTGAGAGAGTATGGGGAGGGAGAACCGTAGGAGGTTTGAGGAAGGATGAAAAGTTTGGAATAGCTAAGTGCCCCCCATTACAATCAAAGAGTAGCATGAGAGTGAAAGGGCAACTAGTACTGGAAAAGTTTGCCAGGGATACTCTGTCGTTGGGAGGGGACCAGGGCTCAGTGAGAACAAGAAAATTGGAGTCAAGGAAAAAAAAACAAAAACAAAAACATTAAGATGAAAGCAGCTTTGTTACCTATGGAACTGGCATTCCAGAAAACTCAGTGGAAATAGTGGGCAGATTTTGAAGAAATGTTGCGGGGGGAGGTTGATAGAGGGGAGATTGGAAGCAAGATGGAAGGCAGAAAGGGGTGGGAATCAAGGTTTATACAGTGACAGGGAAGTAAGGTTTGAATCACTGGGATGGGTAGCGTATGATAGGATAGAAGTATGCTTATCCTTGAAGGAGTTCAGGCAGAATATCGTTGGTCCCTGGCAGGACTTAGCAGCCAGCACAGATGTAAGTCAGTAGTAGAGAGCCAGAAATCAGATTGGGGTCTTGTTAAGACATGGAGGTTTCAGGAAGACTCACTAATAATTAAATCACCTCAGGGTTAAGTCTTCCCATCAGGGGTCAGGTAGCTTGTGGAGTCTGGTAATGCTTGATCTATAACAAATGATTCTAGTGGAGTTTCTGGAGGCAAGGTTGTTCTTCAAAACAAAAATGTTGAATGTTTTTTCAAGGTATACGATTCTCATTAAAATGAGATTTGTGTGATTTTTTTCTTTTCTTTTCTATTTACTGACCTATAGCAATAACTTGGAATGATGCAGAAGGTTTATCTATATGGAATTCTAACTTTTATTTTGCTTTGATCAGATCCTTTGATTTGGAGGGGGACAGAGGAAGAACATTTTATCAAGGGAAATTATGTCTTTCCCTAGAAAATAATCCAAATTATATTTCTTTTATTGAATTTTGAAGTCATTATAAAGTTGAATGTTGTGTCAATACTCAAAGATTATATGTGACTTTGTGATTTTTACAGCAAATCATTAGCATCCTAAATTTTTAGCTCTGTTGGAGCTCCACCTTGTGTCCAAGATTCAATATTGCACCCTACCTTGACATTTTTAATGAAATTTTTATTAATTCTAATGGATATAATGGAACTTTGAACCAACAATTATAAATTCAAACTTTAGTAAAAATGTGTTTGTGATAAATATTATATTTTTTCACATTTATTTTAGGTGTCTTCCCCCAATCCCCATTTATCTGACTGTACTGTTTGAAAGAAATAGGTGTAAAAAGCTAAAACTTACTTTTTTGACCGTATATAAGGGAGCAACATTTGCATGCCCTTCGGGGTGTAGGCACAACAACACTAGGGAACTGATCTCAATATGACAAATTTAGCTTTTAGACATTTTCTCTAGCCCTCCATCCATATTACTGAGACAGGTTTCTCCAAGGTACCTTGTCCATACTTCTGGACCCTGGGGCCATAGCTTAACAGTGCCTGCCATATAGTAGGCCTTTAATAAATGCTAGTTGACTAACTGATTGGGACACCTGGATGCAATTAGTGTAGATGATATTTGGTTAAATTGATTTTACTTTTAAATGCTCTGTTAGTATCTAATGCTTCCTCTTAGGAATTTAAGAGCAGGAGATATGGAAACAGACAAGTTCGTAGTACTTATGATAATCTTTGCCATGACAGCAAAATGTCTTTTCTTCTTGATTACTCCTTGTAGATATATATCATTTTTAGAGTGCTGACATTTTCTCATCTTGATTTATTTCCTACAAGCCTTCATTTAGAGTCTGATATTCTTAGTATGTACTCCATTATGTTGTCCTTTCTAACATGAATTACTATGTACATTTTATCAGGTATCTTTCATCTTAAAGTACCAGAGTCTTCTGTAGTTGGCTCAGCCATTGGAAGAATCAGAGCTGTGGATCCTGATTTTGGGAAAAATGCAGAAATTGAATATAATATTGTTCCAGGAGATGGGGGAAACTTATTTGACATCGTGACAGATGAAGATACCCAGGAAGGGGTCATCAAATTGAAAAAGGTATCTAGACAAAACTTTTGGATATAACGAATGTTTCAAAATTGTCACTTAACTATGATAGTTACTGTAAGTAAGTCTCTCTTTCATAACCTATCCCAACAAGTGATCAGGTAATAATTTGGTGACTTTCAGAAATGCACTGATTCTACATTGCTATTGAGAGCTCCAATGTAATTATTATTATAGACCACAGTAAGAATTAAACCCGTAAATACATGAAGTGCCTAAATCTTCATTGAGTGTATACCAGGCTTCAAGGCAATTACAAATTTCAACATCATTTCACTCTAAGCAAAGCCAAAAGTTTAAACAGAAACATAGCTGGGCCTCACATACAATCTTTATTCCACGGTCTTCTTATGCTCCTTTTACAACCTAGAAACTGAGAGACCTGGGATCCCCTTGTGCCTGAGTTGCCTGTATCTATAGATAGTTTGCAGTTGAACATTTAGTGGCCAGTGCAGATAGTTTCTTGTAGGAGATCCATTTCAGGTAGAATGCCTTGATAGCTAATGAAAGTGAAGGTAAACAGTGGTTTACATATTTTGAGAGATGGAATGTTTTAAATAGATAAGTTTAGAACAACAACAAAAAAGGGAGGGCTGGAAATAGGAGAAAAGAGAGATATGTCCTATGATAATAAAATCATCAGAAGAAATAGAAAGTGAGGTTGCATAGAGACCAACAACATTTAATATTGATCCTGATCCTTCAGGAAATGTACCTTGGGAAATCTATCTTTTTACTTTTTAAAGCTGTATTGGTTGTGAATATATGTAATGAAGGACTTCAGTGAACAGTTTTGTCAGTATAGTGTTTAGAGTGGAAAGAGAATATAGAATCATGAATAGAGTAAACTAATGAAAACCTGTTTTCACTTCCTGCTTTTGACCTTTACTATTTATGAGATCCTGAGGAAGTCATGTAAGCCCTCAGACTCTTAGCCAATTGCATAGGATTTCTCTCTCAAGTCATAGATAGTTGAGTACTGCATTGGCAAAGGACTTTCTGGATAACTCAAGCTCCCTGAGCTACCTACCACAGTGAGGAAAGTCCCTTGGTAATAATGAGATAGAGGCAAAATTAAGTTCCATATAGTGCCTGACCTTTCTGTGTCCTATGCCAAAGTGGAAGATTGGCTGTACTTACCAAGCCCTCCAGGTGACCCATCCCTATTAGTGGAGGTGATGAGTTTCCTAGGAAGATACTGTTGGATATCTACCAGATGTGTCACTCATTCTCATTTTCACGGTAATAAATGACAAGTTCCTGGTTGGGGTGGAAAGGCCATTATATCCATCAGTGGTGACCACACTGCTTCTTGGAAGATAGTTCTATTGAGAAGGTAAAAATTTACCTCTCACTAATCAGACTCTAAGTGAATTGTGTATTGCTGTTCTTTTTTCTAGAAATTAAATGATATAATTTGTAAAGCACTTTGCAAAGTGTTAAAGTTTTTTTTATTTCAGTTATTATAATTATTATATTCTAGTTTATGGGAAAATAAAATGTAGAGTTTTATAATTATTTAAATCAAACCAAAGACTAACACTGAATATATATATATTATATATATATATATGTATATATATACACACACATATAGATAATATACATATATAATGTATGTATATATAATATACATTATATAGAAATATAATATAGAAAAGAAATACACAAAATAAAAAATACATTTTTAAAAACAGCATTGCACAGAATTGCTTTGCGTCTAATTTTATACAAATTACTTGGGTAAAGAACTTATTGAGTATGTGTTTATAACTGATGTAGATTCAGAGCATTTACATATCCTTAGTTTTTCCTTAAGTTTTATTAAACTGCCTATAAACTGTTTTAATATCCATCTTTGTTTTTCTGAAATTAAAACTCTCCTTGTGTCCTGATACACACACGCTGTTATTGTTTATTCCTCAGTTCTTTGGTACAATCTAAGGCTTTCTATGCATCATGGTTTTCTGATTAATTACAAGTGTTTTGTAATAGATATTGGTGTATGGAGAATATTTTCTTTTTGGTGAAAAGTATACACACTCTTTTGGACTTCATGGTTTCAACTCTTAATATACTTGGTTTACAAATTACTTGTTGATTATTTTTATTAAGATCCAAATAATGTATCCTGTGTCTTATAAAGCATAAATAAATTAATTCTCTTTAAAAAATTAATCAGAAGTCTGGTGTTATGATTACAGGGAGTTAGCCACAAATTATTTAAAAATTTGTATGGAGAAATTCTGTGCTAGCCTCCCATGCCAGCAGTTATTGGAGAATAGGGCCAAGGCTTATGCATTTTGACAGATAAAATTTCGGATTTTCAATTCCTATATCTAAATATGTTTAGAATTTGTGAAGGTATTCTAAGAGACAAAGATAATAAGTTGCTTAAAGATAGATTTAATTCTGTTTTCTGTACCATAACTACATTAGGCCATAGCGCTTGAGCTAAGTTTACAAAGTCGAATTTTTCCCCCCGCTAACTAGCATAATACTTAGCTCATAGTAGGTACTTCATAAATTAAATTTAATTGAATCATATTTGTTCCACTGAAGTTATCTTATTCTAGGACAGGATCAAGAAGAAATGGTTTGGTTGGGCTCTGTATGCTATGTGTGTACTAAATGAATGAAGTAATGTGGAACATTGAGGGAATCTCTGGATAATGTGGTACAAAAACAAAAGAAAACACTTGCCTAAATTGCCTGAAACATATTACTGCTTAAAGTTATCTAAGTAGTTATCTCCCTTCCATTTTAATAGTGAAACTCTACAATTTCAGCAAGATAGACTATTTCTATTGCCTTAGTTCATAGAAAATGCTAAGACATTATCTATCTGAAGGGATAGATCAGCTTGAAGATAGCCAATACAGCATTTCTGCCTGTTTTACCAAGTGAATGACTAGTAATCAAGACAGTCCATTGTGCACCACCATGTTGTTGTGATAGTTTAGTCTTTTGAGTCATTTCTGACTCTTTGTGAGCCCATATGGGGTTTTCTTGGTAAAGATACTGGAGTGGTTTGTTGTTTCCTTTTCTAGTGTATTATGGCAAACAAAGGTTAAGTGACTTACCTTCGGTCACACATCTAGTGAGTGTCTGAGGCCCAGTTTGAACTCAGGTCTTCCTGACTCCAGGCCCAGTACTCTAGCCATGAACCTCCTAGGTGCCTGTACCACTGTGACCTTTTTTTTTTCTTAAGAGAGTTAAAATAAGTTTATCAACAATATTTTAATTATCTTAGCTCCATAGTTATAGACTACATCTGAAAGCTAATGATTTAACACTACAGGGACCAGTTGCATCATTGGATGCATTTAAAAAAAATATATATATATATATATATATATATATACACATACACACACACACACACACACACACACACACACACTATAAGGCTCTTTGGATAGAATGCTGGGCCTGGAGTTAGGAAGACCTGAGTTCAAATCCAGCCTCTGACACTTACTAGCTGTGTGATCCTGGGCAAGCCACTTAATCCTGTTTGCCTCAGTTTCCTCATCTATAAAATGAGATAGAGAAGGAGATGGCAAACCACTCCAATATCTTTGCCAAGAAAACCCCAAATGGGGTCATGAAGACTCAGATATGACTTAAACAACTGAACAACAGTAGCAACAATTATAAATACAAATAATTATAAGCATATATTATAATTTTACTTAGAAATAAAATGTTTTTGCCCTGCAATTGATGCAGCTTGGGTCTTCAAGGTACTCTCAAATTGTGGTTCCTCTAGTGTTTTTAAGTATGTAAAGTGGTCCTACTGGACCACTTTTCTCCTCATTTTCGTTTTATAGGCTCCCTAGCATCTGTGAAGATGCTGTTAAGATGTCATCTCCTACAAGGGACCTTTCTTGGTTCTCCCAAATTATTAGCATTTTCTCCCTTTTTAAATTACTTTGACTATTTTGTATCTACTTTATAAATACAAGTAACCACACACATGTAGATATGCATGCATATGTGCATATAAATTGTTGTGTTTCAGTAACTATCTTCTCTAGATCATCAGGATGGATAATTAATCCCAAAATATCAACTTCATTGATCTTTATAGAATTGTTTTTCTTAAGTCATAGTTGGATAAGCAGTCAGAGTGGTACAAAAGAATAATACTGACTCTGGACTAAAAAATCCTGGGCTTTGAATTCCACTCCTACCAATTACTCCACCTGTTTTAAGTGACTTTAGACAAATAGCTCCATCTTTTTGACTTCAGTTTCCTCTGAGGGGATGAGACCATGTGATGTCAAAATAGTTCTAAGTCTATGATCATTATTTAGGCATTTTCCTGGTATAATATAAAACTACTTTAATAAATGTCCAGCACAACAAAATGTGGCTCCTGAAACATGGGTCACCACTACCAGTATGACTAATGAATGTGTCCTTTTTCAGAAATATGGAGAATATGATAATCCATTCCAACCATTGGCATATAGCAACAATTCATGCAGATTATATTTTTCAACCTATGATCTTTTATATTCCTATGTGAAGTCACATAAGCTTAAAGCTTATTTCTCAACTGGTGAGGAAGAAAATTCCAAACTGTGGGGGCAGCTAGGTGGTGCAAAGGATAGAGCATGGGCCCTTGATTTGGGAGGGCCAGAGTTCAAATCTGGCCTCAGACACTTGACACTTACTAGCTGTGGGATCACGGGCAAGTCACTTAACCCCATTGCCTAGCAAAAGACAAAAACAAAACAAAACAAAATTCCAAACTGCATCAGTGCTCCTACATAACCTAACCTCTTAATGCCAGGCTTTTAGCTACATTAGCAGTTATTAAATGGTATCTCTCAATTACCTGTGGAGCATAAAACCCCCTGCTAAGTAATGAGGGTTGGAGTGGGGAATCTGTAGCTGGTTGGATCAAACGTTGTTTCTGTCCTCAAGGAGCTTATTTTCTTTGTAGGAGATAAGGCACCAATAAGAATAGTGGACAGTGATGCTTA